ATGAAATAGTCTTCTCATTAGGCATAGTTTGGCATAGCTTTATGATTTGGGACTATCATTATGAGTTAGAGCATTATAACCATATATATATTAACTGTTTCCTCAACAGTTTTTGGCTTCTACAAAAAAAATGACTTGGGCCACTTTATAATCAGAACAGTATTACTGGGCCTTTATTTTCTCCCAGAAACTGATATATTCATTACATGCATGATTTCATTTAATACACACAATAACATTAGGAGGTAGATGTTGCTACTATGCCTATTTTACAGAAGAGAACACTGAGGCTCAAAATCACAAAGCAAGTAAGGGTCCAAATTAGGTCAAGAACCAAAATCCGTCAGACTTCAGAGTCCACAGTCCTACTCACTATACGATAGTCCCTGCAGTGTAGTGGGTGACTAAGTCTTAATTTGCATCTTTCTGCGGCATCTATCATTTTTCATCATGTCAGCTTCCAACAGCCCTCTGCTAGTATATGCTCTTTCCTGAAATCTAATGACCAGGATTGTGAAATCAGAAACCTTATCTTTAAAACTCATTTAATTCCACTGGCCATGAAGGAGCACCTATAGGTGGATCCAGACATCTCTTTAGAGACAGATTCATGGGCTTCATGACACCGCTTTTCAGTTACATTCATGCCATTTTTCCAGACATGTACAGGATTAAAATTGGCTTTCAAATTATTAAAAATGAAAAGTCCAGTTGATTGGCATATGCAAATGTTTTATCCAGAGATTCCTTATGTCTAGTGTAGTACTCTTTGTGCCCATTGGAGCAGATTATCTTTTCAGACATAAAATTAATATAAGTAAAACCAGTCAAAGTTGGGATGGAAATTGTAGAGCCGATGGCAACTCACTCCTTTACCTTCACTTCCCCATGACATCCACTGAAGGTTCCCTAATCCACTAAGAAATCCTGGGGCTCCACAGAATACAGCTGGAAGACAAGGCTCTAGAGTCTCCTTCCAATGATAAGTAAAAAGGAAGATGCTAACGTAATGCATAAGATTTTGTCAAAAGAGTAAATCATAATACAGTAAATAAAGCACCTCTTTGTTTCATTTCTAGGAATTAATACAATCTGGTATTTGAAAGCACTGGATTCAATTAGGAATTCTTCGCTCTTGTGCATTCTGTTCTTGGCATTCTTTGTTGCTAGGGAAGCCATGCACCTTACCTGGTTGCAGTAGCATGCCCCTCCTAAAGCCAAACATGCGTGGCCTATCCCCCAGGTCAGGAAGCAGCCTGCTGGCTTATAAATGAGACCCACCTTGTTTAATTAAATGCATAGCATGGGTGCTGGCTATCAGAGTTGCCTTGGTTGTATAGAGAGACTCTGGAAGTTTCAGACAAAGTAAGAACCTAGTATTTGCTGTGAATACGATTACTACTACTAGTTTTCTGCTTACTAGTTCTGAAACAATCCAAATAATTAGGTAGCCATGGAGCATTATTTGCTTTCTAAATAACAATTAAGGAAAAAAATTCAATTTGTATGGATGTTTTTAAAAGGATATTTAAAGTGAGCCAACATGTCTCTAATTTGGAGGGGAGGGTTCTTGGTACTGTTTGTTCACAGAAATCACAACCACGAAGGCACACTTGGGCAGAGCATTGTATGATGTGCATACAGTGAGGATTTGAGCCAATCAGAACACAAAATGCACAGTTCCTGATGGGTAAGGATGAACTTGTTCTGAGACAGACAGAAACATTCACATTCTCATCAGTCTTCCCCTTAAAAAACCACAGTGGATGGATTGATAGTTGTAGCCGGCACCAATTACCTTATGATCTTAAGCAAGATACTTAAAGTCTCTGACACTTTGTTACTTTATCTGGAAATTGGGGATAAAAAATACATATTCAGAGGATTGATGTGGTGGATTAAAGGACATATCTGTAGATAAGTAAGCAGAGATATAGATGACCATCAAGAAAGCAGCCATTATGAGTGGTACTCTGTGAGTAAAGGCCCAGTGGAGGCAAATCCTTTCCCATCTTTCTGAAGTAATACACTCTTTTATCCAGGTATACATTAAAAGAGATAAAACCTCTTCTAATAAATAAATGTTTTCATGATCAAATTTGCAGACAAGTGGATCTCAACCCTTGGGCACAAATTAATCACTTGGCTTTTGTTTTTAATTCTGGATGAATTGGTCAAGGGTGGAACCTAGGTATTAGACATTTGTAACAAGCATCTCAAATGTTTTAATGGGCCATCAAGTTGAGAACCAATAACCTGAACTATTAAAGAGTTTCCTGTTGATTTTCCTGACCCAAGATCCTCCCCACTCTAATTCATTCTCTAGTGCTCTGGTTCAAATAGTCCTCCCAGTAATCAAGTCGGGATAGAGAATGACAGCATATACTTGTCATCTCCCTATTTAAAAACCTTTGCTTCCTTTGCCTGCAGCCAAGATGATGAATATATTTCTTGTTTGTACCAATTCCAGTAAGTTGGTTGAGGCTTTTTAGAACCTTGCTTAGAGAAAGATTCCAAGGGTCAGCCTGGGCTCAGCAGGAAAGAATATCATTCATGCCAGATTAGGGATATCTGCCGTGAGGATAGAAAGGAGGGAGCTCTGGGATTTTCCATTCCCAACATTCAGAATAATGCCAAAACTCTAACATGACATCAAAGATCCTGCATAAGTTATTTCTCTACTGCATTTCCTCCCTATGAGCCAAAAGCTATATCCACAATCAATTTCTTATTTTCCTATTTTTCCTCCCAAACATGAAACCTTAACTCCATCACTTTGTTCATGCTGTTCCCTTTGTCTGGAATGACCTTGTCCTTCTTTCCTCCCAATAATTTCCTAATCTTACTTCAAGATTCATGTCAAATGTCATCTTTTCTGTGAGGATTCCTGACTGTCCCAAATATAATTTCTCTCTCTCTCCACCTCTAAGCTGCATAGCGTTTTTTTTCCTATCTTTATAACTGATTCTGTCACACCATATGGTAATTTACTCTATGTTTACGTGCTCAACTCCCCTAACATACAATGCACATCATTGATGCTCAGTAAACATTGGTTAAATGAATGAATGAATAAATGAATGGACTCCTTGATGGCAGATACTATCACTTACTCATCTTTATTTCCCAGTGCCCAGCGAGTAACCGATGCATAGTAGGAGTTCAGGAAGAGTCTACTGAGTAACTGAATAGTGTCTGCAGGCACTGCTGCCACCCATATGGCACAGTAATCTGGGCTCATTCTGAGTCACAAATCACAATCTGCCAGAAAACTTCCATCTGGAGAGACCGCCCCCCACAGCAGCTTTTCCTTTCAGTCTTTAGGCCTGTTTTGTTCCCTATTCAACAGGAAATAATTGAATGCTAGCACTGACTCAAAAATAACTCGGAAGCTATAAAAATTATAAAAGGTCTTTTAGTAATATTACACAGGATACTTTAAGGCAGCCCTGCAGAGTAGCATGCATCTAGCTCCCAGAGTTTCTTTATGCATTCATGTTGCAATGTTCTTCTTACCCAGATGCAAGGCAGCCCACCAGCCCCTCACAACCCACTCATGTGTAGTTCAGCCTTATTGACTGCTCTGTGTGGCTAAACTGATCAGCTGCTATATGTGGAGTACATGAAAAATGCTCAGGGAATGATCAGGATTGTCCCTAATCAGTTAATGTTATACAGAAGAAACATTCCATCCATCCTCTCTTACCCCATCTCACTTGAATCAGAAATGCTGTACTCTGTTAACTAAAGGTAAGATTCTGCCCCAAGAGACTTCGTTTTTATGCATGATAATGCTGAGATTCACAAAGAGTTAAGATTTCTCAATCCCTTGTGATTTACTCATTTAAATCAGCATCACTACAGAGCGGAAACTATTTTGGCTCTATGCATAAATGGAATATCTAATATAGAATTACATTATAATGAAATATGCATTAATGCAAGCCTCATAAAGTGCTTTTCATGTTCTGCGGGCATACAAAAGTTTAAAATTCATATAATCTTATTTTAGTTGCTGCTCAAATGATGATACATCAGGTTAATATGCTTAATTAAAAGTCACATTGGAAACATTCAAAGGGATACTTAATTTGCTATTGACATTTGTTACAACACAATTAAGCATTGTGGAAACAAGACCATGGGATATGTCACTTCCATTAGGAACAGAAGGAGGATATTTTATGATTTTCAGGAAATAATATGTTTGGCACCCAGGAAAATTCAGCTAATCATGGCCTAAAATATTTGCCATTAAAAATAAATTTTTGGTTAAAGAGACACTCTCAAAATAACATCCAAACCACTTATCTGTCTACATTTAAATGAAGATTAATCAGAAACATATTTCAAAGTACAATTTATTCCACAATTCAGATCGGATTAGTTGGCTGCTGGGAACGTTTCCTTAGGAAGGGACCATGACTGTCCCTTTCAGATTCTGAGCCAGCTGTTCCCAGTGTTCAATGTGAGATTTGATGCTGGTCAAGTCCACTCCCTACCTCTTGGTGCTAAATTTAAAATCAAACTACTGGGCAGGGTGTGGTGGCTCACGTCTATAAAATCAGCACTTTGGGAGGTTGAGATGGGCAGATCACAAGGTCAGGAGTTCGAGACCAGCCTGACCAACATGGTGAAACCCCATCTCTAAAATACATTTATAAAAATACAAAAATTATCCAGGTGTGGTGGCGTGCACCTCTAATCCCAGCTACTCAGGAGGCTGAGGCAGAAGAATCACTTGAACCTGTGAGGCAGAGGTTGCAGTGAGCCAAGATTGTGTCACTGCTCTCCAGCCTGAGGGATAGAGCAAGACTCTGTCTCAAAAAAAAGGAAAAAATAAAACTACTGAGCTCATTCCATTCAGAAATGTCTTGGCTTCCAATATATAAAGCTTCATCTTTCTACTCCCCTGCCCTAAAGTCCATGTTTGCTTTAAAATGATCTGCTCTTCACTGCTCCTGCCGATTGCTCTGGCCATCAGTGATCGGGTCACACACCTTTCCTCGCCTCACCATCTGTCTCCTCCACCAGGGAGTTAAAGCCTGGCATGGGGGGTCACAGCCGGGCCAAATTCCACTTTCCATGAATAGTGCCGCCAGCAATTTTTTTTTCAGTATTTTGAAGATTCTTTCTCAGGATTTCCTCCTAATTACCCTCCATCCTGTATCAGGGAGAAAAAAAAAAAATACAGGTCAGCAGCAGGGCACAGTGCCAGAACCTGCAGGGAGGAAAGGTGCTGAACAGAAGCCGGGAGGAAAGTGAGCTGACAGCTGAGCAGGCACGGGGCTGCTGCACACAGGGCAGGAGGCTCACATCGTCCTGCCACCAGGACGCCCCAAACCATAGGAGGAGAGGAACAGCAGCCTCCAAAAGGAAGAACTGCTGGGTGCCCAGGGAGATTAATGAATGGAGGTGAAGCTCCCTCTGCCAGAGAGGTGAGCAACGTCTCCATTATCCCCAGGGATGATGGGTGACTGCAGCTGCCCCCGAGGAGCAGCACATGAAGGAGGCAGAGGTAGCCTATATACCTGCCGCATGGGAGGATGACAGAGACAGGGGAGCCCAGCTTCACCAATGTTATTTGCAAACCCTCCCCAAGAACTCAGTAGGAAATCAAAATTGTTTTGCTAACCAGTGATGTCAATTTCATGTCAATAGGGATCTGATGGTGCCCATGCAAAGGAGAATTTCCTGTACGGGTTCTACAACTATATTTTTTCATTTTGGCCATGTCGTTCTACTGAGTACCCTGGTCAACCCCTGGTATCAGATTCTCATCTTTTTTCTTTACTCACCTGTCAACTAATGCCTGTACCACCACCTCCACCCCAAACACATACACACCTTCACCTTCAATGGACAAAAAATCACCAGAGCTGTAAGGTTGCCCTTAATGGGAAACATTCTTTATGCAATACACAGGATTTATTGTGAGCATTATGGAGCAATGTGTTGTTTAGGTTATGGCTGCACTAAGGCTGGGAAATGTCTCCCTGTTCTTATATAGTTAGATTGTTAAAAGTTGCTCATTTGACTCTGAGACCCTTTTAGAGCAAGTACTATTTGCAAAGGTCAACTTGAGTGGAAAATTCAGACCACACAGTAGGCAGTAAATTATATGTTCAGTACTCTGGCAAGATCCCTAAATGGGTCAGATATGGTCAAGCAAAACTGACAGCAGAATATGAAACAGCACAAAACATTCAGACTTTCAGACAGGCAAGAACAGTGCTTTTAGAGAGGAATGGTCCAGCCACTGTTACCAACCCCTGGGGTCCATAACAAAGTGAATACTGGGGGGAACGATCAAGCTAATCAGGGAGAATGATCCAAACATCATCTAGCAGCTAAAGACATCTTGTGGCAGAAACGGGAGAGACCTGTATACAACATGTGAAGGCTGGGAAAGTTCAAGCTAATTACCACCGGGGTTCAAGAATGACAGAAGTTGCTTCCAGGTGGAGGGTTGGAGGTTCTGATAAAGGAGATGGCATTGCACTGGCCTTTGATACTGTGTAGGGTTTTGAATCAGGAAGATGGAGAAGGGAATGTGTCAAATATGATTCGAGTTATTCAGGCTTCAGTGTTACATCAGCATCTCATTAAGATAGCGGATATTTATATGCCTCTTTATGGTTCTCTGTTGCTGTGTTTTCAGGCTGTTCACAGTAGTTCAGTGAAAAAATCTTTGATATCACCAAATATCTGAAAACCGAAGGGATTATAAACTTTCATATTTTTTTAATTACTAGACCTTACATTTTTGAACAGTTTTACATTTACAGAAAAATTGAGCAGCAAGTGTGGAATTGCCATATATGCCATATGTCCCACACATAGTTTCCTGTTATGAACATCAGTATTGACACATTACTGTCAATAATTACAATGTAAACTATTGGCACCGAAGTCCATTGTTTACATTGAGGTTGTGTTATGCATTCCGTGGGTTTTGACAAATAATGACATGTATCTACCATTATAGTATTGTTTCTTTAAAGAAAGCTCAGATTCTGACTTATAGAGATCTATCTATTCTTGATCAAAACACATATAGGCAGAGAAAATAGATCGTACTTCTGCATACAGCAAAAATGTCCATATAGAAACATGCCCTGTTGCCATGCATTGCAAGCTTTTTCTTAGAAAGTCTTATCTAAGTTTGCAACTCCTAGCAGAACATGAAAGGGGAATTAGATTAATTAGCGCTCAATGAATTTGGAAGACTTTGTACTGCTCTTCACAAAAATGACCCTTAGCGTGGAAAATCTGCAACTAGTACCACTTTGCTGAACAGTAAGAGAATGCACTCATCAAGATTTTGATGTCAAAATGTCTGTTAATCCTGTTACATTTAGAATATTGCCCCTCAAGCGTGTAGAATAACAATCTTAGGGGATGTTTCTGTATCTCCAGTAGGTGGCCATAGATGGGAAATGTGGGAGAACAAAGCCTAGGGAAGGGGAGAGGTCTAAGAGTAGGTGCCGGCAGAAGAAAATGCTTCTAAGTTCAAGTGAAAGGAAACAGGAAAAGCCCTAGGGCACAGTGAATGGAATCAATCTACTGTAGTAAAAGGAGCTGGAAAAATAACACTGAAAATCTGTCTCCTTTCCCTCTGGAATTAAAACTCCTATTGTTCCATATGGTATGTGCTAAGGGATTCCTTTTTGTACTATCTGGTCCAGGGTCTAAGTTTATTTTCCTTTTCTTCTTTCCCAGATTTAAGATGAAAGTTCCCTTACCATTCATTCACCCCAACTCTGCTCCACCTCCACAAGTCTACTTTTATAGATTTCTTTCCTCTAATTGTGGGAGGTAGTGATTTTTTAAGAGGAAGTAAAACCTTAACTTGGATTTATCATTTGCCATTTTTGGAGAATTTAGACTTCCTTCCTCTTTCTTTCCTGTTTGAAAGAGCCTCTACAAGTTAGTTCTAGTTGAAACTCTAGAGGACTATGTTTCCGTCTCCTGCCTGTACTCCCAGAATACTTGGCAGGGACCATTTATCAACTAGTTCAACTGGAATTATCCTAAGAAGACTTGAATGTATATACTCTGTCTACTAACAGATAAAAGGAAATCATTACCGCTGAGGAATAGATTACTTTATTTCACCTCAAGATATATGCACAGGTCAAGAGAAAGTTGTCCCCTGATAGAGAGACTCCTGTGACCATTAATTTTTAAGCGCACAAAGATATAGCACCTCATTGATTTGATAAATATTTTTTTAGTGCTTGCTAAGTGCCAGGCACTGTACTGGATGCTGGGGATAGAAGGCATGGCCCTCGTTAACATACAGCTAACGATCTAACAGTGTACTCGGGGGAGAAGACAAAAGCAAGTGGAATAATGAGCACAGTGTGATCATTATTTGCCATAATGGAGAATAGCCATGGAGGGGGGGGCAGAGAAAATAGATCGTACTTCTGCATACAGCAAAAATGTCCACATAGAAAAATGCCCTGTTGCCATGCATTGAAAGCTTTTTCTTAGAAAATCTTATCTAAGTTTGCAACTCCTAGCAGAACATGAAAGAGGAATTAGATTATTTAGCGCTCAATGAATTTGGAAGACTTTGTACTGCCCACGGAATGCATAACACAACCTCAATGTAAACAATGGACTTCGGTGTCAATAGTTTACATTGTAATTATTGTAATTATTACATTAGAGAAGATAGTTGGGGAAGGACGTTCTAAAAGTGAAAATTCGAAGGAGCCACCCCTATGAGCAGCTGAGAGAAGACAGTTTCATGCAGAAGAACCAGCACATGCAAAGGCCTGGTGGGTGGGGGCAGCTTGGGGACGGGAACTGAGTGCATTGAAGAAACAGAAAGAAAGCCAGTGTGGCTGAAGAATGGTGAGAGGGTGAGTGGAGGGAGGAAGGAGGGCTGAAGAAAGCAATGAGGCAGACAGATCACTCAGGGCCAGCAGGCCAGGCTAGAGTGGAGATTTTATTCCAAGTGAACAAAGTGTCCATCCAAGAGTTTTAAGCAAGGGAATAATGTGATCTAACTGACTTCTTTACAGATGACTCTGGTGACTGTGTGGAGAATTGCAGGAAAACAAGTGTAGTGTCTGGAAGACCACTTAGCAGGCTGTTGCATTAGTATAGGCAAGAGGCAATGGTGACCTAAATGCCTCAAGGAATCCTGATGCCTTGAGAAATAGTGTGGGTCTGAAAATAGTCAAAATCTCCTTTTACTGCACAACCAAGATTTTTATTTTTTTTCTTTCCATTATTGCTAATAACTTTTTATTGAATTTTCTACAAATATTCACGTACAACTGAATACATAAAGTTTTCACAGAGCAGTTGCATGCACGAATAGAAAACCAGTACCAAGTGATATTAGAGTTTCAATCATTACAAAAGCAGATACAAGCACTGTAAGAACCAGGACATATTTTGATGCCTAATTCTTTATTGAAGGCATGTCTGTACATTCCAGAATATGCATAAGTGATGTCTGATCCATTCCTCTGTTTGCCCTGAGATAATCCTAAAGGCAGAGACCAGGTCTGAAGGACTCGCTTTAAATAGTAACTGACAAGGCACCAATAGACAGTTCACAGCTATCCCTTTTGAGGCTGCTGCTGATAGTACTGACCAGCATATACTCCAAAGATTTGAACCCCATACAACCCAAAAGGACATGTCCTGTGGAGCTGGCCCTGGGCTTCCAAAAGTGTCTCTGGCGCTTAGTTTCTCTTATGCACAACACCTCACCCTTAACAAAAATCAGGAAGACTTCACGCCTGAATTTGCCCTATGTGGTGAGGAAGATAGTGCCATTGCCTTGGAAGCCTGCAGTCAGAGACAGATGAAAACATGAGGACAGCCAGGCCAACCCTGCCAGAGTAAAACCCAATCTGACAGTGAACTGTGTCTGAACTGAGGCCAAGGGTAAGGTTTTAGATTACAGAGGGTTAGGAAATGAGAGAGAAGTAGTTGATTATGTTCCACTTACCTATGAACAAATACTTAACAAGGGCAATATTACAGGCACTTCTCAGTACAGAAGCTTCCATTTCTTAAGCACTGTGTTGGGTTTTTACATGCATTTGCTCACTCAGTCCTGGTATTAACTATTTTACAGGTGTGGAGGATCTGGGATTGAGGGAAAGTAAGTGATGTGGTGACACAGCCAATAAAGAC